ATATATAGCATATAATAAAATGTATTAACACATACATTAATAAGATACAACAATATAAATGATATTATAAAAGGCGCCTGCCTTGTCATTTTTGTCGCCTAGGCAGGCGCCTAGTTGCTAAAAGTCAAGGCGTTTGGGCGAGGTGCCCAGCCAAGGGCACCTAGTCGCCTAGGCAACTATGAGACAAGCCTTAAACCAACCCCTCTAAACCAGGTTTAAAAAAAAAAAACTAAAAAAAGGGGGGAGTAAGCCCCGATGTAGTCTGGTACGCCCCTACCAGCGTATCGGGTTGTATCAATATTTTGAACCTTGTTTCTAACTTGATTATAAGTTCTTTAATTTGGAAATCCTTCTAATCATATTAGAAATAAGAAAGATCCAAGCCCATACTCAATTCGACCCATATAGTTCAATTATCCTATTGTCTAGTCAAAATAGTCATGTGACTAATCACACTAGTCTTTAATGTGAATTGGACCATTTACTCAAGTTATTTAAATCACATGTTTAGCTAGCCCATCAGACCTAAATATTTGTATGGCATGGGACCCACTAAGTTCTCACACTAATGTGTATGCATTTGGTTCATGTAGAGAACCACATGGGCCGAATTAACTAAATACACCTAATGAACCTCTTACCTAATCTAATTGTGCTTAGAATAGGCCCAATACTTCAATACAAGTGGACTTTGGTTTCAGCCACCCAATGAAGCCCAAGGCCAATGAATTAGTATGAGAAATAAGCCCATCAAGTTTCATCCCATAGACTTTTGTTCCTAACCTCTCAGCCCATAATATCTATACACTACTCACAGGGAATGACCTCTTCCTTGATTGTGAAGTGCAGTGTTACATTCTCTACTCAGATGGATCCTGGGATTAAAACCTTTTGCAAACCCTTTTCATAAAATAAACTATTTATAAATATAAATACATTTTGGAAATTGATATAAAACACTTAAATCCACTACCAAAAGTTTTAGGTTTCTACTTTCTATGAGAGAGTGTAAACTAGGGTGTTCTTTTTGTTTGACAAAGTGGCTGATTCTATCACAATGATCACCCACTCAAGTGATATTCCAAACTGCTTCAACATATCCAGGGATTTAACCCTTAGAGGATCTCGCTGGTTGGTATATCAAAAACAACCCAATCCAACACTTAGTGTAGTACCATTATAAGTTTGGGTTAAATGCAACTTTCTAATTTTGCCCATTTGTCTCCAAGGTCTAGGGTATAACTAGAATATGGTCCTTGTTCAATGTTTCAACAAACACCCACTAATTGTACCTCAGGTCTAACCCTAACAGTTGAGACAGGTTGCTCCACCAATTTGGTAGTACAACAGTGTTAGCCTTGGCAGGATAAAGTCCCCAAGCCTATCCAATGGCTGAGAACATTATAAACTAACATAAGTCTCATAAATGTCCAATTTAAGGGGTAATACACAGAAACATACTGAAACACATGCAAATAATAACGATCTGATTTTATTCACTAATAAAAGTCAGAATATATTTGTCTAATTAGAGCTGGGGCATACGTTGTCTAATAGTATATACAAATTAAAGCCTCAGTCTTGTGCCTGATAGGAGGAACAAATTATGGGAAGGATTTTTGCCTAAGGGGGAGTGTCTGGCAACAAATTTCCTATACTTAACAACATTTCCTGCCTAAGGAAGCCTCCTCTTTGGCTTGTTGTGTCTTGTTCAGATTTGGAAGTATTTATCTTGTGGATCAATAGGCATTGCTAACTCAGTTAAGACTGAAATATTGGCCCTTTTACAAATTTACAAGGCTTGAGACTAGTGGAACCAGCTAGGTGTTAGGGATTTGGAGATTGTGGGTGACTCACAAGTCAGAACTCGTGATATCCTGTTTCAAGCAGGGCACATTGGCACTTTGGATCTATAGACATGCTTTCAGGGAAATTGACATTCTATCAAAGAGATTTAATGCTTTGCTCAGTTGGGTGAGAAGAACTGTGAACGGGTTGATAGATGTATTAGCTAAACAGGGTGTCGACAGATATATTTTATTCTAGGCAACAGTGTATTCTGTTGTATCAAAGTTGCTCCAGCAGCTGCACTTGTCTTTTAATTATTTAACAAATTCTGATAAAAAAAAGTATTTATCTTGTGATGAACGTTATTGTGTAGAATCTATGATAACTCGAGTACCAGTTTTGGAGATGTGAATGCTTACTATTTGTTTTGTGTTGTTATTGCCACTTTCCTTTTTCTTCCCATCTTTATCCATTTCTAGTTTTGCTGATATCTCATTGAATGTGACCGTCGTACTTGCTGTTGAATAGGTGTTAAGTCGACCACAAGAGCTGAATCGGCAAGGCTTTATTCTTGAAGCTGCTATTGAAGCAGCTGCAAATGCGGTTATCAGTCTTAGGGATAATTTGAATGGATGGGATAGCAAAGTAGGTGATGGTGATTGTGGTTCAACTGTGAGTTCTCTTCACAAGGCATAAGGTTATGGTTCATGTTACCTTGTTATAATTATGTGACACATGGTATCTGAATGTACATATTTTACAGATGTTTAGAGGTGCAACAGCCATCCTTGAGGACATGAAGAAGTAGTAAGTTTCATTTTCATATTTTTTGATCAGTATAAGTTCCATTTTCATATTATTCACATTGTTTAGACCTATTAAGGTAGTTAACAGAGATTGCACCACTATGGCAATAGGCCCTACTATTTCATAAAAGAATTTTACGAAAACAAGAAAACCATATAGAGATAATGCTAAAAGACTTGATATTACAAAATGTTCTGTTAGTTCAGTTGGTTACAGTGTCATATTTTAAAATGAACTTGTGGGTTCAAGTCCTGCTTAGGCTGCTGCCACATATGGTAACATTTTCAAGAGATTAAATTAAAAGGTAAGAACCCACATAAAAATTGAACCCATAAATCCCAAATTATATGCATAAATTCAAATTTACAGGCATCATTGACTCACAAGTTAATGAAATATAAATGGTTCTTTATTCAAATATATTTTTTGATCGGATGATATTCAAGTTTATTCAAAGTACCAAAAAGATGAATTGACAATATAAATGCATTGTAGATGAAAATATTAGATTTATACCCATAAGTTTGGTGAACAGCTTCTATAAAATAATAGCCAAGGTTTTGTTTGTAAGAATTAGGAAAGTCCTCCCAATCAAGGGGCTTTTGTGCAAAATAGACAAATTATTGATCAAATTCTGATTGTAGATGAATGTGTTGAAGAAATGAAAAGGTCAGGAAAAAAAGGTGTACTATGCAAATTAAACCTTTTTTTGTGAGTAGCAAATTCCCATTTCAACAGGAGGGGGAGAGAGAGAGAGAGAGACCGCAATTGCAGACTCACTGCCCACACACATGTTCCTGATTGTGTCTTCAAATTCTATCTCTCACTGAGAAACCAATAAATCATAAGATGTTGATAGGGTAGAGGAAGATAGGGGGCGGAGGTGGGTTTCTAGAAGAGGAGGAAAGGGGGAGAAGAATATGGGAATTGATTGAAAGTTTACTTGAGGACCTTAAGAGAAATGAATTAGAGAAGGAAGGCCGAAGGCTATTATGAGGAGAGGTTGATTGGGACCAATCCTGATATGCCTATAACAAACATCGGGAAAGGCCCCAATGATTTAGATGTGAATGATTTGTTGGTAGAGTTTGTGGAAAAGCTTGGCTGCAAATTGCAAAATTCAAATGATTTGAAAGTTTTCTTGAGAAAAAAATGAGGAAGGCAAGGTCAAGAAAAGGAAGTTAAGTGAAGTGGGAAGGTTGAAAAAGGATATGGATGGGGATAAGGAATTTAGTGGGATAAAGGGGTGAGTTAGAGGAAACAATCAAGAAGAGTAGAAAGGAAGGGTCAAGAAAGAATAAGAAGACATGAAGATTGTGAGTTGGAATGTTAAAGGATTAGGGAGGGCAAGAAAGAGATCCATTATCAAAGAGGTGTTTAGGAAAGAGAAGCCAAATATAGCCTTAATTCAAGAATCCAAGTTAGCCGAATTTGATAGGCGGTGGGCTAGGAGCGTCTAGAATGCTAGGGGTCTCAATTGGGAAATTGTTCCATCTCAGGGTGCTTTAGGCTGTTTGGTAACAATTTAGAATATTAAGCCTTTAATTGGTCTTGAAGAACTTGTGGGCAAATAAACAATTTCAATTAAATTTAAACAAGTATTAGATGGATTTGAGTGGGTAATGACTAATGTCTATGGTCCCAATGGATATAGGGAATGGAATGGATTTTGGGAAGAGTTGGAAGATATCAGAGGCCTCTAGGACAAGCCTTGGTGCTTGAGGGGTGATTTCAATGCCATAAGATTTATAGATGAAACCAACAACCCTATGCAAAGAATCAATTCGATTATGTGGAGATTTAATCAATTCATTGATGTTTTCGAGCTCAAGGAATTGCCTCTCTCTTACAACAACTTGGTCTAATATGCAAGCTAATCCAATTTGTTCCAAATTAGACAATTTCTTATTCACAGTGGATTGGGAGGAACATTGGGGAAGAATCTAGAGCCCTTCCAAGTGTTACTTTAGATCATTGGCCAATTTCTATATCTAAGAGTAGTCTGGGTGGTAGAGGTCCAACTCTCTTTAGATTTGAGAATATGTGGATATTTTCTTATGGTTTTATTGAAAAGGTCAAGGATTGGTTGCAAGATATAATCAATAAATTGAGGATTTGGATTTAAAAGAGGGCTCAGGTTCTCTTGAGGAAAGGGATAAAGAAGAGAGATGGGCTATGAGAAAACAGTTGGAGGATCTATTGCTTAAAGAGGAGATAAGTTGGAGATAGAAATCAAGGAATAATTAGATTAATGAGGGTGATAAAAACACTAAAATTTTTCATGCTATGGCAAATGGGAGGAGAAGGAAAAAATTTGTTTCAAAAATAGTGGTGGATGGTGTTACTCTCTCCCAACAAAATGTGATTGGTCTTCTATTGATGGGTTAGAATGGTCTAGTTTTAGGAAGCCTTTGGGTAATAGAATTTGAATTGATGGGTTAGAATGGCCTAGTTTGTCTAAAGAGGCTAAGTCTTGGTTAGAAAGAAGTTTTGACTTTTGATCTAAAAGAGATCAAGGAAGTAGTTTTCTCCACGGATAGATCCAAAGCTCCCTATTCAGATGGTTTTACTATGGCCTTTTACTAAGATTGTTGGGAGATATTGAACGATGATATTCAGAAGGCTTTCACTGAATTTTTTGAGAGGGGAGTGATTAAGCTAGGGCTCAACTCAACTTTATTGCTTTAATTCCAAAAAAAGTTGATGCCTTACACCCAAAAGAGTTTAGACTGATTTTTTTGATTAACAACCTTTAAGTCATTGCTAAGGTGCTCTCTTAGAGAATTAGGACTGTCCTTTCCATAATTTCACGTTCTCAAGGGGAATTTGATTATGATAGGCAAATCATTGATCATATATTAATTGTAAATGAAAGTGTCGAGGAGTTGAAAAGGACAAGAAGAAAAGGCTTTATTTGTAAGATGGATTTGGAAAAGGCCTATGATCTGGTTGATTGGTGTTTTTTGATGGAGGTGTAGAAAAGATTTTGGTTTGGAAAAAGATGGTGTAAATGGATTATGGGATGTGTCAGGACTTGTCACTACTCAATCTTTGTGAATGGAGCTATGGTGAATCATTTCCTAGCTCTTAGAGGCCTAATACAAGAGGACCCCCTCTCCCCTTTCTATTCACTCTAATTGCATATGTTGTCAGAAGATTAATCTCTAGGGCTGATTGTAGAAATTTGATAAGAAGATCAGGTGCCAATCACTCACCTACTATTTGCTGATGATTCAATTTTATTCCATGGAGGTAATCTAAGGTGGGTGAGAAATCTTAAGTTGATTATTCAAACTTTTGAGCAAACATCCAACTTGAAAATCAAACTGGATAAAATTTGCTTTGTGGGGTTGAATATGGAAGAGAGGGAGATCTTTGAGAGTGTATAGATTTTGGGTTGTGTGGTCTCCCAATAACCTATGTCTTACTTAGGGCTTACTTTGGGGGATAATTTGAGAGGTGATTTTTGGAACCCTTTGATTGAAAGATTCATAAAAAGATTGACCTCTTGGAAGAGCAATTACTTGTCTTTGGGGGGGGGGGGCGGGGAGGATCACCTTGATTAGGTCGGCATTAGCTAATTTTCCTATTTATTTTTTGTTAGTATTTAGGATTTCAGAAGGGGTTAGTAGAAGGATAGAAAAGATGATAAGAGACTTTCTTTGGGAGCCAGGGGAGAAGAAGGACCATAGAGTCGGTTGGGAAGTGGTTTGTAGAAGTAAGAAGTTTGGTGGTTTAGGTCTTGGAGTATTTAGGAAAGGAACGCTGCCTCGTTGGAGAAATGGTTGTGGAGGTTTCCAATTGACAAAGATAAATTGTAGGCTAGGGTGATTATTAGCATTCATGGGTTTGTGGTTGATGGCTAGGATTTTGATCTTTTGACTAGGGCTACAAGAGCTTCTCTTTGGAAATCCATTCATGCCATCCTCCCCTTGTTCCTGCCATTAATCAAGTATAATCCTTCCTCTGCAAATCTTGTCAAGTTTTGGGAGCATGTCTAGTTGGGCAATTCTCCCCTTAAGGCTCAATTCCCCTCTTTATGCTATTCTAACCATAAGGATGAGCCTATTTCATTGTTCTTGGTTCCCTCCAATTCAAGGGTTGGTTTTCATTGGGACTTGGGCTTTAGAAGAGGCCTTCATGAGTCTAAAATAAGTAGTGTGTCGATTTAGCTCTAAATTCTTGAAGGGGTATTCTTGGATCCTTAAAAAAGGGATAGTCAGATTTGGACCTTATCTACCTTTTGTTCCTGTACTTGTGCTTCTTTCTTTTCATTTTTAATACAATCGAATGATATCCTTGGAGTGTCTTTCCCTATTAAGGAGATGTGGAATAATCCTATACCGCCTAGAGTGGGAGCGTTTTACTGGGAAGTGCTTCTGGAAAGAATTAATACTTGTCACTTATCCTTGGTGCTTTCTCTATAAGGCCAATGGTGAG